ACGGATCCCGGCAGCCCCCGCGCCGGGGACGGAGGGGGAGAGGCCGGGTGCAGGGATGGAGGGACGGGTGGGCGAGCGAGTGAGTGAGTGGCAGCCGCCAAGCCTTGGCCGAGAGCCAGGAAGGGCCTCCCCAGAGGAGGAGGAGGGAGGCGCAGAGCGGGAGGGAGGGAGGGAAACCCAGGGGTCATCTAGTGATGGCGCCCCAATCGAAAATTTGACTAAAAAAAATAATCTTTCAATTTTTTAATTTTTCCCGCGGCACACCAGGCAACATCTCGCGGCACACTAGTGTGCCGCGGAACAGTGGTTGGGAAACACTGCTTTAGGCAACAGAATGCTGAACTAGATTGGCCTTTGGTTAGATCCTGCAGAGCTCTTCTTAGATTCTTCCATGCATAGAGAGCATCAAGAGCAACTGGGAAAATGTAAGTTTCTTTATTTTGAAAATCTGCAAACTGGACCTTCATCCAAAACATGGATTACAAGGCAGTGCCTGTTAAAAAAAACCCCTCAATACAATATTAAAACAAATTTTAAAAATCAAAGCATAATAAAATCCAAGAAGAAAACAACCAAAAACCCAACCAGCTAAGATAACACAGTAAATTTAAATATCACTCGGTGTTAATATACAAGACGTAATTACGCATTGTGTGCTTCACCCTCTGGAACAGATTTTAGAGGTGCATGAGGAGAGGAGAGGAAGAAGCAGCTCCAGTTAGTAAGGGGATGCACTAGATTTCACACAGAGGGAGTTCTGGCAATTCAGACTTTTCAGAGATGTTTTGTGTGTGAAAGTTTTCTCGTGCTTTGTGCAGAATGCTGGTTTTAAATTTTTATTTTCCAAGTACAGTGGTACCTCAGGTTACATACGCTTCAGGTTACAGACTCCGCTAACCCAGAAATAGTGCTTCAGGTTAAGAACTTTGCTTCAGGATGAGAACAGAAATCGTGCTCCGGCGGCAGCAGGAGGCCGCATTAGCTAAAGTGGTGCTTCAGGTTAAGAACAGTTTCAGGTTAAGAACGGACCTCCAGAATGAATTAAGTACTTAACTTGAGGTACCACTGTACTGGATAGCATATTTATATAAAATTTTAAAAGCGTTTCCCCATGTCTCTTTATGACTATGTACAAATTTAATAACTGCAACGGTCTAAATAAATTTCAGTGTGTACTACTGCTCCGCAACTTTTCTCTTCTACACAGCTATTAAAAGTACACAATCCCTGATCTCCTTGGCATCTTGTATTCATCCAACAGCCAGACTATTTACTTGCATTTCTCAGACAGAGCTCAAATAAGACAGGTAGCTCTTTCTTACTACAAGTTATTTTCCATGTGGTTATGTACTGCATTTGTGTTTGCCTCAGCAATCAGGATGTGGTTTCTGTATTAGTTATCTTTCATTTTCACCTTGTTTCCCCCCCTATTTAAGCCCATGTGTGTATAGACCTACCACCTTCCCAGAATTTACCTTGACAGGGTAAGCTGAGGCATAAAGAAGCTCATGTCAAAATAAACCAATGGGTCTCTAATGCACTGCTAGCAACTCTCTTTGTTGCTAGACTAAGTCATGACAGCGCTTCTGAAATTTGTAGTAATACTTAAGCCTAACACCCCATCTGCTGGCCAGTGATTATGTTGCAGTGGAAGTACAGTATTATAGCCCATGTTCAAAGTCAAGGAAATATGCATCTATTCTGTCACTTCTTATATTACAATGTGCTACCATGCCAACCGGCAAGATTCCATTATGTTTGTAAGGACCTAGGCTAGTGTTTCCGTGCGCTGTTCTGATTTGCCAGAAGCGGCTTAGTCATGCTGGCTACATGACCCGGAAGCTGCGGACAAACGCCGGCTCCCTCGGCTTATAGAGCGAAATGAGCGCGCAACCCCAGAGTTGTCCGCGACAGGACCTAATGGTCAGGGGTACCTTTAACTTTTAGGCTAGATATATCTAAACCTATAAATTTACCAGAAAATCAGTTACATTTTATCATTGTTTGGCAATACCCCCCTCTGCAAATAAGCACATATATATTAAAATATTTGCATTTTGCCTTTTCACATGCATATGTACATAAACACACACACACACTTACTCCAGCACAGCTAGGTAAAGGTAAAGGGACCACTGACCATTAGGTCCAGTCGTGACCGACTCTGGGGTTGCGGCGCTCATCTCGCTTTATTAGCCAAGGGAGCCGGTGTACAGCTTCTGGGTCATGTGGCCAACATGACTAAGCCACTTCTGGTGAACCAGAGCAGTGCACAGAAACGCTGTTTACCTTCCCGCCGGAGTGGTTCCTATTTATCTACTTGCACTTTGACGTGCTTTCGAACTGCTAGGTTGGCAGGAGCAGGGACCAAGGAACGGGAGCTCACCCCGTCGCGGGGATTTGAACCACTGACCTTCTGATCGGCAAGTGCTAGGTTCTGTGGTTTAACCCACAGTGCCATCCGCATCCCTCTCCAGCATAGCTGCCAATGGTTAAAAGCAATGTACAGGCAAAAATACTAGATTACACAAAACAAGGCTGGCAAGCCTTGGGTCCAGGGGCCAAAATGTGGCCCTCCATAACTTTGTATGTCCCTAAGTCACATCTCTCACTGGCCTTGCTTAGCAAGTGTTTGTGCCAGCTATAATGTGCCTTTGAACCCTAATAACCCATCCTGTTTATCACAATGGAAGGTAGAGAAGGGTGTGTGCAGAACCCTGCAGTGGATTTTTTTTTGCATTTGTTGCTCCACCCACTTTTGCCTCTGGCCCCACCCACCACTGGCACTGTGGCTCCCGAAAGGTTGCCCAGAATGAAATCTAGCTCCCGGCCTGAAATTTCACGAGCACACACACACACACTGCCAACTTATAGAACACATTACAAGCAATGAAAGCAGCAGCAATCAATGGAGCCATGAAATGACATAACCGCAATGTTACAGTGTCTATTCTGGACCCCAAAAAAGCTCTTTAAAACAGGATCATCTTGGCTGGGTTCCTAAAAAAGAGAGGTGGCCCAAAGTGAACCTCCCTGGGAAGCTCCTCGGTTATTTGTTGCTGCCGCACAGAAGGCTCTGTGCTGCCCTCGTAAAACACGAGTGACTTCATATGAGAAACAGCAGGCAGTAACATATCCTAGACCTAAAGTGTAATACAGTAGTGTAATCTGGATGTCATTAAGACGCGAGTTACATCAACTAGGTTTTGCTTCTCGAGGAAGTGCTGCAACTGGCAAATAACTGGTAAAAAAAAAAAAAGCGCACTTCTGGCCATTATTTTTGCTTGCGAACTTTCAGATGCAGCCCTGGATCTGAAAGCACCCCAAGATGCAATCCTGAGTCTCGAGTCGGAGTGCAATTCTGTCTGGCACTGGATGTAAACCTCCCCTCAGATCAGATGTATTCCTAATCAACAGCATTTCTTTTGTTGGATCTATGTGCCCTGCAATCCAGCAATCCTTGTGGCCACACTTTTAACTGCTCTCTGAAGTAGTAGCCACATTACAAGTTATTTAGTAGAAGTAATCCATCCTATAATGGGACTGCTTAGCAACTGCATTCTGCACAGGAAGCATTTATCACCTTAAGCTGTAACACACTATATTAGACAGATTTATGGATGCTGTTCAAGTTTGGGACATAGCAATTTAAAAAAAAAAAAACATTCTAAACTTTTGGGAAGCAGCCTTTAAAAATGCTATAATGGTGCATGCATAATAGCTTCACTGAAATCAAAGCAGTATATCAAAGTTTAAATTTTATCAAGGTTGACCACATTCCGTAACTACAAGAGTTGCTGTGGGAACCAAATCTATGGCAGGATACTCTTGCTCTTCTGAAATATTTCCAGTTCATGGTTACAGGATTCTTCGAATATATATTCTCTTGCAAGTGTAAGTTATCTGAACCTAAAGTCCTGTATAAAAGGTCAAGCTTTAAGTACACAAGTTAAGTTGTTTCTGGCACAAAAGGGTTTATGTATAGCTGCTTCTGATCTATCAGCTCAAGACTGTGATGGGACAGCTGGCAAGTGAAATAATGTGTATTGTTAGATGAGTTGACCTCGGAAAGTACAGACTATAGTTGCTTATTTGTCTGTATATTATTCTTGCCCTAACTACAAGGTTGGAGCCCATGTAGATCCTTTTATCTTGACGGACTTGGGACTGCTGCAGCCCAGCCCCCTAATATATTTAGATGTTACATGTGGGTCTATGCATGGAGGCAAGTTCAGAGGTCTGCTTTTTGAGATTATAAATTCTTTCCCACCCAAGTGGAACAAATTATGCCTATTGTTGCCCTCTGTGTCTTGTTTGACATCAAATGTACAAGCAGAGAACAGGACCAAAACATGTGGGGCAAAGTGGGGATAACACTATCCCCATATGATTTCCTAATTGCTTTCTGGAACAATGATTTCAGTTAAAGGCATGGGTGTAGCCAAGGGAGGGCTGGGCTGGGGGGGGGCAGCTGCCCCCCATCAATTAAAAAAAATAGCTGATGTTCTGCCCCCCTAACAAAAGGCCTGCCCCCTCAACAAAAATCCTGGCAACACCCATGGTTAGAGGAGAAATGTATGAATTCTAAAGAATTTTTAATCATTCTCATGTTTCACCCACACAGTAACTGTGTTAAGACAAAGTAAAAGTACTACTAACACGCTGTGGTTATCCCTTGGTTTTCAAGATTCACTGAAATTGATAGCCAATCAGAAAACAAATCCACTTCAAAGAGTTTATTTTGTGGAATTCTTCTCATATAAAACTAAAGTCTACATAATTAAACAGTTTTACAAATTCTTTGATTTAAAGTTGGTGACCAGTTTTAAAAAGCCCAAGATCACACTGTATAGTACTCATTCTTTCCACAATTTTAGGATATGGCTATTAGCCAAGATGGCTCAGTATAAAAAAAAAAAGTGCAACTCACCAAGTATAATTAATACCGTTAAGTTACATTCTTGAGTACACTTTTAATTATCAGTTCTCAAACTGATAAAACTAAGCAGCACACACAGTGAATGAAGTCCCCACTGATTGAATTTTTAAGGCAACACTGTACTTATGTACTTCTGGCACTAATTGAGTTGCAACTGGATGTCTTCACCTGATTCAAGTACAGTTCTAAAAATACCTCTGGCAAAAAAAACTTCGTTTTTTTAAGTGTGAGCTGGAAGTAAATAAAAAGTACTGAAGGTACAAGTTAAAATGTTAGAAGCAACTGCCAACATGCAGAAACATACATATTTTAAAGCTTAGGAATAAACACAACTTAACTCTTTTTTTAAACTGAACTCAAGAAGTTTTCTGGTTAGAAATTTAGAACAGTGAAACATCTAGACAAGGTAAAACAAACACTTCTAGAAATAGATAACACACAACATTCTAACATTTCTAGAAATAGATAACATATAATTCAAACAAACTCCAACTTGAAAGAACTTTTGCCAATAAGGCTACATAATTGTCAAGTGCGTTTTTATATATGTGTGTATGTAATCTCTCTCTTTTAAACGCAATCGATGAAGCACTTCAGGTCAGTGTCATTAATCAAACAGATTTGAGTACAGCTCTGCTTCTTCTAAAATGATGTGCCCTTTTCTCCTACAAAGGTGGCAAGGGGGAGGGAGAAAGAAAAGAGAGAAATTAGAGCACAATTATACTTTTTATAAAGTTCTTTCCTCCCACACCCCTGCCAGTGAAAAAAAGAGGGGGAAGAATTTTTATTAATTAATTTGATTTGAACTGATTTTATAATGAATTGATTTTAGAATGCTGTATTATTTTACTGTTGTTGGCCGCTCTGAGCCCAGCTTTGGCTGGGGAGGGTGGGATATAAATAATAATAATAATAATAATAATAATAATCTGGTGGCATTTATGTTGATTTCCCCTAAATAGCTTTCCTCCATATAAAAAAGGAAGCTTTTTATATTTATTTAAAGGAAACTACCTTTTTGCTTGCTTGCTTGCTTGCTTGCTTGTTTGCTTGCTAAATGGAGAAACTGGTGGGAAGAGGGCTGGGGGTGGGGCTTCTGTGGAGGGAAAGATTTAGCTGGCTGCCTTATGCTGAAATGGGAGGTTGGGTACTATGTGAGAATGATGCATAGGGCGTTTTTCAGTAAGCAGTGCAAGCAAATGAGTGTCTACTCACAAGCAAGCCCTACTTAATTCAATGAGGCTTACTCCCAGAAAGTAGAAGAAAGTTTAACTGAACTCGGGGGGCTTATGCATGCACAGCATCCATTTTAAGGCCCTCCACCACTGCCCCTCAGCTGCTGCAGGGAAGCATGGCACACCTTTCTCCTGCCACCACCGCGGGGAGTACAGTCAGGACCCTCTGCTGCTAGGGGAAGTGTGGCACACCCTCTGCCACTGCGAAGAGACACTCTGCCACCGTGGTGAGGCGTGGCAAGGCTCTCTGCTGCTGCAGGGAAGTGCGGTGCACCCTCCACAATCACAGGCAGGTACGGTGGAACGCTCTGCCACTGTGGGGAGCCCCAGCAAGGCCTTCTGCCACCGCAGATATATATTGTGATATATACAGATATTTACTTGGTGATATATTGTGATGTTGAGAACCATTTATCGCCCAGCCCTACCATCGCCTTACTAAATTTAGTAAGAACGTTTCAATGCCAAATTAAAATGTGGCGATAAGGCTTATGAAGGCAGGTGCTTATTTGTAATTGTCACTGTCAAGTCTGCAGCCAGAACACGCAATTATCCTGATTTCTTTAGGTCCCGAACAGGAGCAGCAGTAAGCTTTAAAGGTTGGCTCCAACTTACTTTTACCCAGAATAGCTCTATCAAAATTAATTACCATGACCAATTTAGATACATTAATTTAAATGGGTCTACTCTGAATGCAGGGACGCGGGTGGCACTGTGGGTTTAACCTCAGCGCCTAGGACTTGCCAATCGCATGGTCGGCGGTTCGAATCCCCGCAGCGGGGTGCACTCCCGTCATTCGGTCCCAGCGCCTGCCAACCTAGCAGTTCGAAAGCACCCCCGGGTGCAAGTAGATAAATAGGGACAGCTTACCAGCGGGAAGGTAAACGGCGTTCTGTGTGCTGCGCTGGCTTGCCAGATGCAGCTTGTCACGCTGCCCACGTAACCCGGAAGTGTCTGCGGACAGCGCTGGCTACCGGCCTATAGAGTAAGATGAGCGCACAACCCTAGAGTCTGGCAAGACTGGCCCGTACAGGCAGGGGTACCTTTACCTTTTACTCTGAATGCAAGTTAGTTGACCCAACACTTCAACAAATTAATAAAATTCAACTGATTAAGAGTTGCTGCCCTAATGATTTTATCTCCTCTAGTAGTCTGCAATCATATTCATACCTTAAGATAGTCCTCCTGAGTTACAATATTGTTCCTCAATCTGTTGTCTGGGTTACATAGACATGACACTACCGTCTGTATGCTTCGGTCCACAGATTTCTAAAGTAATTACATTTTATTAGTTTATTTTCAATACAGTATGTACACCATTGGTAAAAACAAATAAAGTTGTCTGTACCAAGACCTTTGCTGCAAAGGTTGGTATTTCCAAAATCAGATCTTTATTGTTTTCGTAACCTTTCTAGTAGCCACTTTGGAAGACACCACAGCACTAACGCAAAATGAAAGTTTTATTAAAACCATTCCTTCTCTTTAAAAAAATACCCTTCATCTACAGTGAGGATTTCCTAGCATTAAATAAATTACATCCCAAATAGCAGTCTTGAAAATAGTCTTGTTAGATTAGGTAGATCCTACCAACAATAACGTTATCAAAATCAACTTTTGTTTGATTGCTGCATTCTAGAACTAGCAACTAGGGAAAAACAGAGAAGAGAACAAGAAATAACTTACAACCCCAATGTATCATTTGCTTAGGGGTACAGGGGGTTTGGACAGAATGAAGACAGTTTTTACTATGATTAAAAGTTACATAACTATAATGATTGATCTGGAATTCTATGGACAAAGTTCCAATACAACTCCAAATTCAGAGGTAACAAAATTGTAGCATACTGCTGACCTGTGAATATTTACACAAACTAAGTACATACACCATCCAGGGGACAGATATGAAGGACACATTCCCCACCTCTATGGGACTCATCCTCCATTTAAAAGGTTGTTCAGACATGCAAACACAGAACTTCAAAATGGCAAATATATATATAGAGAAAAACCATGCTAGGGTCAAAGATTTCAGCAGTAAGCCATGATTCATAAACAAGTGTACGTCTCTGGAATAGAACATTCTACTCAGCAGAATACTACTGTAGCCTCCTGCCCATTTGAGGCATTTAATCATCTTGTGTAATAAGAAACAAGTAGATTCTGGTCTGGCCAAGGACCTCCAACAGCAGAAATACAAATCCCATGCTAACGAATTTAGGCCACATTGCTGTAATTATCATTGCCATGCTACTTTCTCCAGCAATGGGCTCACGCATAGGAGAATGCTAAAATGTAAAGGCTAAGCGTAGGACAAGAGGCTGAATGAAGCAAGACAGTAGCCTTTTCTCATTTAACTAGAGTATTTCTATTCACCCTTGGTCACAAAATACTTCAGGAACAGAGAGAAGCAATGCACACACACCCCTTTTTCATACTCTGCATTTCCTTATCTCTCATGTTCCCCTTTGGGGACGTTGAAAGAAATCATGGGTACCTTTTGTGGACTGTTTCCACAGGACTGTGCAGTCTCGGCCATAGAACACTCTGCCTGTTCTGCGCCTACCTCCAAATCACCACCATAATTCATGGTATAAGCCTATGTAAAATACAAAGTATGAGTTAATATAAATTGACACTGTCTATTCCAGGTGCAGAAGAAATGGAAGTATTATATGCAAACTATTATATGAAATCGTGACCTTTTGCTCCCACACCAGTTAAAAGCTCAAAGGGTTGGATGGGCCATCCAGTAATTAAATAGGAATGTGGCAGCTATCAGAAAGGTCTGTCCTTATTCTTCAAATAGCTATAACCTTAGGCTGGCATAGGAGCAACTATAGAACCAGTAGTCACCATGCCAGTGAAGATAAACAACAAACCACAGGTTTTCATGGCATAGTATTTATTCATTTTTATTTTTAAACTCTTTTAACATGGATTGAGCTGTATCTTTGTTTACACTGAAGCGTATGACATGGAAAAATTACACAAAATTTAAACAAAACAATAAAAACTCAGATAAATGGTTCTGAATAGATATAGATAAAATTTATTGTCATTGTCTGTATATACACAGTATACACAACAACGAAAATCAAACACCCACCCAAAGACCGGGTTCACATACACATTTGCACGTATCTCCAACACTCTCATCCTATTCAGACATAATCTATAAAAACATAACATAATCCAGAATATAACATAACCTATTAAAGGCATAACATAACCTAAAACCTATCTCATTCCTTCCTACTCCCTGCTTGCTATTTCTTGCAACTGGCCCTGAGATCATTATTTAGTGCAATCAGAGCTCTTGGATAGAAACTATTCAGAAGGCGTGTGGTTCGTGTTTTCATTGTCCTATATCTTCTGCCCGAAGGCAACAGTTCAAAGAAGTTGTGAGCAGGATGGGTGGGATCTCTCAGGATATTGTGTGACTTCTTCAAAGTGCGAGACGTGAAGATCTCATCCAGGGTTGGTAGTTGGAGCCCAATAACATTCTGGGCAATTTTAATTATTCTCTGTAAAGCTTTTTTATCCGTTTCAGAGCTGCTCCCATACCACGATAATATACTATAGGTTAAGACACTCTCGATGGTACTGTGATAATAGGACAGAAGTAGGTGCTGAGATAGATTCAGTCCCCTGAGCATTCTCAGGAAATACAACCTCCCCTGCACCTTCCTCATATTAACAAAGCTATGTTGAAGTATATATACAAAAATTATTACGGATATGAAATAATGTATAGTAATGGGTATCTGCATAGATTGGTGACCATAAGTAAAAAGTATTTTCATAGAACGATAATAGCAGAGTTGGAAGGGATCACAAGGGTCACCTAGTCCAACACGTGCAATGCAGGAATTTCATACCCAACTCCTTCAACCATTCCTCATAAGGCTTGGTTTCCATACACTTGATTATCTTGGTCATCTCCTTCTGCACGTTCCATCCATCTTGTCACTATCCTTCCTATTGTGGTGCCCAGAACTGGACACAGTACTCCAGGTGTGGTCTCACCAAGGCATAATAGAGCAGGAGCATTACGCATATACAGGAATTTATAGGAAGAGGGGAAGGAGGGAGTGGGGGAGGAAAAAATTCAAATATGCACTTCATGCACGCCTGATAGATTTTTGTGGCTTTCTTGAAATGTCTAGTGCAAAGGATGGGATCTAAAATTTAACTCTTAATCTTAACATGTGCCAGATGCACAACTTCAGCACTACTCCAAAAAACAGACTGGGAACCTTTTTCAGCACACACTTCCACTGTAGAAAAATCCTTCCATTTTTAATGAGACACTATTGTGGCAGTACTTCAGTATCTGAATTATTTTTTGTCAATTTAGCTTAATCAATCAAGCTTAAATACATGGTGTGACCCTCTTACCGGAGGCACAATATAGTTTCTGGGTTCTCCAGGTGGCCATTGTGGTGGAACCTTAAAAAATAAATAAGATGTTTCAATATGCAGCAGCCTTTAGCAGTAGACAGTTCAGCAAGTTTATTTATTTCAAAAAATTTTTTACCTCAAAGAGGTTTTTTTAATGTCAGTCCTAAGATATACAATAATGCTATGTGTGAGCAGAAATCTGAATGCATTTTCACCAAGTTTATGAAGATCTGTTGAATCAGGATTTGCACAAGCTGGATAGAGTACTATAGACAGAATACATGATCTCTTCAAAGGGGCGAGAGGAGGAGAGAGAAGAAGCAAGCCATCTCAGTAACAGAACTGGACAAGGATAGGGCACCAAGAGTTGTATCCAACTAAGTAATCCCATTGGCGCAAGGACTTTTGCCTTTGTAGCAGGACATGCCTCACTGTAGCCAACATTTTATTCTTTTTAATGTGGATACTGCCCTTTTATTGTAAGTATTGTCAGGATTATTTACAATAGACTGAAAAAAGGTCCTATGCTTAAAGCAGCTCAGTGACCACAAAGGTAAATTCAATCAAATATCCATTCAGATATACTACCAGCACAGAACTCAAGACTACTTCCATTTTGGTAACTGTTCTTATAGAAAATCTTATTAACAAACCTAAATAATTTTATAGCCATTTATTCACAAATCTAAATCAATTTGAACAATCTGCCAGACATATTTAAACTAAGTATTCATCTAAAATTAAAGAGATCAGGCTTAATCAAGCTTGGCTTTCACATTTCAGGAGTAGAAGTGAAATGTATTTCAACACAAACCTGATAGTTGTAAGCAGGCTGAAACCCTACAGGTACCTGTTGCTGAATTAATAAAGCTGGTGACCCATAAGGATATGCCTAAAAGTTAAAAAAAAAACTATTGTTAGGCAAAAGCATATTCTTACAAGGCAACTATCATGGACAAAGTGCCAGGTTAGCTAGTAAATGTATGGTGTGGTGTATACCCAATAGCAGACGATGACTTGTTAACCATGGCACAGCCTCGTGCATCCTCTTCACCTTCATGCATAGACAGGAGACAGTATACTTCTTAATACCAGTTGTTGGGAATCATGAGTAACTTGAGTGCTATTGTCTTTGACCAGATCCAGCAGAGCTCTTCTTAAGTTATTTAAAACTTCCTATTTCTTGCTGCATCCAAACTTGGCAAATATTTTCCTCAAATCACAAGTTCTTTTTTTAAAAAAAAAAACAAGAAGCCAGGAAGCTTTAAATCTCCTCCCCTCACATGTAAAGGGGAGGAGAATATGAGCCTGAGGTTACTGCTGGTTCGTTTATGTTTAAACCAAATACAGTGGTACCTCAGGTTACATACGCTTCAGGTTACATATGCTTCAGGTTATAGACTTCGCTAACCCAGAAATAGTGCTTCAGGTTAAGAACTTTGCTTCAGGATGAGAACAGAAATCATGCTCCAGTGGCGCGGCAGCAGCAGGAGGCCCCATTAGCTAAAGTGATGCTTCGGGTTAAGAACAGTTTCAGGTTAAGAACGGACCTCCGGAACAAATTAAGTACTTAACCCAAGATACCACTGTATATATCTCCACAGGTCTAAGATAAGTTTAGTTAAACCAGATTTGAAGTGGAAAGGACCTGCAAACATTAACTGTATCTGAAGTTCTAATACCAAGACACCACACAAAAAGGCTGCTGTCTTGAGCGAACTGACTAGTTAAGAGGTACATAGGAGTTATGACAAATTCAAAGCTGCATTTGGTTTAGTAGAAAGCTTTGTTTCAAAAGGTAAAAAGGCTGTTATACAGCTATTTACTCTACAAAGAGTCCCCCCCATATGAAATAATTCATGAGAATCCCACCTTCCCTGATAGACAACTTAGAAGATTTACATGTGTCTGGAAAGATGTAAATACAGTGGTACCCCGCAAGACGAACGCCTCGCGAGACGAAAAACTCGCAAAACGAAAGGTTTTTTCGTTTTCGAGTTGCCTCGCAAGACGAATTTCCCTATGGGCTTGCTTCGCAAAACGAAGCTTGCCCCGGGGACAGCGGGTCTTCTCTTTTGAAGCAAGGGGCGGCGGGGAGATCGCTTCTCCCCACCGCCCCTTGCTTCAAAAGAGGTCTGCCCCCGGACCTCTTTTGAAGCAAGGGGCTGCGGGGAGATCGCTTCTCCCGGTGCTCCGAAGCGGGGTGGGGGGGGCGGGAACACCTGCCCCAGCCGCCGGGCTTCGTAGCGCTGCTGCGAAGCCGGGCGGGGGGCGGGAACACCTGCCCCAGCCACCACGCTTCGGAACGCTGCTCCGAAGCGGGGGGGGCGGGAACACTTGCCCCAGCCACCGGGCTTCGTAGCGCTGCTGTGAAGCCGGGCGGGGGGCGGGAACACCTGCCCCAGCCACCCCGCTTCGGAACGCTGCTCCGAAGCGGGGTGGGGGGGCGGGAACACTTGCCCCAGCCACCGGGCTTCGTAACGCTGCTGCGAAGCCGGGCGGGGGGCGGGAACACCTGCCCCAGCCACCCCGCTTCGGAACGCTGCTCCGAAGCGGGGTGGGGGGGGCGGGAACACTTGCCCCAGCCACCGGGCTTCGTAGCGCTGCTGCGAAGCCGGGCGGGGGGCGGGAACACCTGCCCCAGCCACCCCGCTTCGGAACGCTGCTCCGAAGCGGGGTGGGGGGGCGGGAACACCTGCCCCAGCCGCCGGGCTTCGTAGCGCTGCTGCGAAGCCGGGTGGGGGGCGGGAACACCTGCCCCAGCCGCCGGGCTTCGTAGCGCTGCTGTGAAGCCGGGCGGGGGGCGGGAACACCTGCCCCAGCCACCCCGCTTCGGAACGCTGCTCCGAAGCGGGGTGGGGGGGCGGGAACACTTGCCCCAGCCACCGGGCTTCGTAACGCTGCTGCGAAGCCGGGCGGGGGCGGGAACACCTGCCCCAGCCACCCCGCTTCGGAACGCTGCTCCGAAGCGGGGTGGGGGGGGCGGGAACACTTGCCCCAGCCACCGGGCTTCGTAGCGCTGCTGCGAAGCCGGGCGGGGGGCGGGAACACCTGCCCCAGCCACCCCGCTTCGGAACGCTGCTCCGAAGCGGGGTGGGGGGGCGGGAACACCTGCCCCAGCCGCCGGGCTTCGTAGCGCTGCTGCGAAGCCGGGTGGGGGGCGGGAACACCTGCCCCAGCCGCCGGGCTTCGTAGCGCTGCTGCGAAGCCGGGCGGGGGGGGGGGCGGGAACACCTTCTGAAGGCGGGCGGGGGGCGAAAGTCTTTGTCCCCCCTGCCTGCCTTCCCAGGGGCTTTTAAATCGCCCCGGACAGCGGAGAAGTCCTCCGCTGTCCTGGGGCGATTTTAAAATGCCGCCCGCCAGCATTTTAAGATCGCCCGGACAGCGGAGAAGTCCTCCGCTGTCCCAGGGTTTTTTAAAATGCTGGGGGTGGGAAGAAAAGCCCTTGTCCCCCCCCCAGCCTTCAGAAGAGGTCCGGGGACAGTCTGTCCCCGGACCTGGTCTGAAGGCGGTTTCCCTAGGAACGCATTAATTGATTTTCAATGCATTCCTATGGGAAACCGTGCATCGCAAGACGAAAAAACCGCAAGACGAAGAGACTTGCGGAACGAATTAATTTCGTCTTGCGAGGCACCACTGTATGGAAGATTAGCAGCTTTGGGTTTAGATTAACAGTTTATGTCATATGGGAGGCACAAACTACATGAATATTCTGTGTCAGGAGAATTAAGCCTTTACCCCACATGCATTTTATGTTTGCCAGTTCTCATGTAATTTTTCAGAAGTATTTTAATCAGGGCTTTTTTCAGCCGGAACTAACTGGAACTGAGTTCCAGCACCTCTAGAGAATTGTTGTTCCCTGTCACAGTGCTCAGTGCTGTGCTATAGAGGCACCATGGCACTTGGAGCTGTGTGATGTAGGCAGTGGCAGTTTATATTATTTTGCCATGGTGAGCGGGCGAAAAAGAGATGTCCTCCTACATGAAAACAACTTTAATTGGTTGCTCCCCCCGCCACTAACCAAAGGTTCCGGCACCTCTTTTTCTAGAAAAAACGCCCCGATTTAAATAGCTAAATGTAACCCATTCCAAGCCTTTGCAATAGACAAGTAAGCAAGGAGTAATGGTTACAACATACAACCCTTATTCTTGTAGTACTGCTTAAGTCACATTTGTCCACCATTTATGCAGAAAACACTGAATCTTTAAATTCAATTTTTTTTAGTAACTCGAAATATGAAATAGCTGTGGAGGGCTGTTCATTTGTATTAAGGCCCTACTTTAGAAAATGTTACCTGAACATATTGTGTGACAGGACTCATGACAGCTGGAGGCTGCAAATATGCTTCCTGGTTGCTCCAAACGCTGTGGAACTGAGGTGTGGGCGAATTAATAAGCACTGGTCTCGGTGGCACATGATAGGCACCTTGGAAGACAAGGGAAGCATTGAGAACTTTCATATACAGTAAAGCCCACAACTTACGTGGGGGGGTTACATTCTGGGCATAGCGCCTAAAGCCAAAATCACATATAGTCAAAACACATTGGGTGCAATGGTGGGTGCGATTACCAAAGTTTTTTTTTCTTGGGTGCCCACCCCCTTTTCAATTGTGTGTGGTTTTTTTAATTGCCAAGCATGTAAAGCTGAATACGCACAAGTTAAATGTGCCTAAGTTGCAAGTGTATTGTATTTTAAAATACAAGTTTAGGCTTCTTTATTCTGAAGGAATTGTACAGCTGGTACTGTAATATTTTTCTAGTTCCATAGAAGTCACAGACAGTACTAGCAGATATGCCACTGAACTACATCATGCACAAGAGTTACTCTTGTGAATGCACGTTCACCAAGTAGTAAATCTCACTGTCTTCAACGAGGCTTACTCCCTAGTTAGTGTTTAGGATTGCATCCACAAGAGGCAGTCAAACAAACACCCTATGTGAACTGGGTGAGGCACTAGGATAGCATATAGCTGTATCTCCACTGGATTTATTAAGAGAAAGGAACTGCCAGTTGAGGAGAGTCTTGCCGTGTTGGCAGTCCCTGCTTTGCCCAAACAGGAAGCTATCACTGACGGCTCTCCTGCTGGTGGAAAGCTCTGAAACAGTGTTTTAGGACCGGTCGCCAGTGGAGATCTTCTGGATTCAAAACTCCATGGATGCTTGGGCCTTTAAGCTATGTCAACCCGAAGAGTCTAGCAACAAGCCAGAAAACACCCATGAACACCACATTCTGCCATGGCTAGCACAAGCAAGCAGAGCTTGGGACATCTCTGCAGGTCTTCCCTGCTGTTCCCTGGGAAGAATTACAAATGCTCTGTAAAAATATTTGCTTTTATCAGCAAAACAACACACTATGGTACAAATCCGTATACATTATTTATGTTCAAATTCCATAATTATTGCTGTGATTTATAAATTATAGTAACAACATTAAGTTTGGTACTACAAAGTTTCACCTGATATAGTTGAACGCGTTTAACGATACTCACATAGGTTTGGGTGTTTTCTTATTGCAGGTCCTAGTTTGAGTTTCTTTCCATGGAAGTTGATTTGTGACTGAAAAGAGAGTTATGTGAGAGTTTGATCCCTACATTTTCTTAATTGGGTTAAACATTGCAGACTATGGAACATACAAACGCCACAAGCATCTGCAACTGCTTTCATGGTATGTCATTCTAATTAGTACTTCCTCTATTATAATTTTATTTTTTCTAGAATTGTTAACTGACAAAATGGAAGCACAAATATATTCTGTAAAATAAGCAAAAAGGTGGAACAGTACCAGAAGAAAAAAAAGATTTTTACCACACTGGTAGTGTACTGATACACTAAACACAGATTTCCAAAGAAGAGTTTCTTTTTAAACTTATTCGGGCAAAGAACTTTGATGTACCTTGATCTGGTGAAGCAGCTACAGAAGCTTACTCATTTCTTCAATGAATAAAGTCAGTTATTCAGGAGTGATGTACACTTATCAATAAATCATTATTTTTCAATAGCAGTTTAAAACCTGCAAGCATTGTCTGATAATGCAACCATTTCTACAGAGGATAAGAACCTATGTGTAAACAAATTATAACCAGAAGTATAGCAGACTGAACACAACGCAAGAAGATACAGAATAATCTGCTAGATGAACATTTGGAATGAGAAGAAGCAGTCTTTGGGTAGAAAGGAGACTCTTGAAAACAGTCAATTTGCATCCCACCTGAAACCAAGATTAGCCACTCTTAATCCAATGTTCTCTTTACAAGTTGAACCCCTTACCAATCCCATGCCAAACCAGAACTGAACCCTTGGATATTGAAGATAATTCTCACATATAAGACATCCCAAATGACAACTTACTTCTACTATTTTCTGTACATCGACATTGTCCAAAAATGACACGAATCCATATCTGCAAAGGTAAGTCAAAATTAGCTACAGTAGTGTAACTTTTCAGCATTGGTACCACCACTTAAACCGAACCTCATAGACTAGAAGAAAAACATCAAGGCAAGTACAGTCCCAAGCCAAACTGAGATGAAGAATGGATGACGGCAGTTATGTTCCTGAAAGTTGGGGGTGGAGACACTACTAATTTCTCAAACTTGATTGTCACTTCCTTGTAATTCTCAAAGTCAAGGACAAGTGGATTTATTGATAGCCACATTGCTTCTTAATAAATTCCATTTATTTTGGAGATTTATATCCCACCCTTTGGCTACAAGATCCCACAAAGTGGCTTACAATATTGATTAAACACATATGTATTATTTTATTTGTTGCATTTACATCCCACTCTTCATCAAATTGTCAGAGGGAAAAAATAAAATACTTTAACAGATATAAAATACACAGCAGCATCACATGTAAAACAAGAACAGTATTCTACAGGAGGCAACTACTTTAAACTCCTACCTAATCTCTTCCGAAGGCCTGCAAACATATTTAGCAGGACAAAATCTATTACAATAAAATTACAATAAAATACAAAAACACGAGTTAAAAATCAGAGAGACACTAAACCATTTACAGTGTTCATGGCTGCAATTTACCAATTCACAGCTCACATAGATCTACGATGTGCTGGTATCTCTAATAGCAACTGATACTTCCTGTGCTTATCTTACCCCATCCACATTTACCCTAGCAGCTAATAGGCTAATTTGGTAAGACTGACACCTTATTAATGGTCACATTGTTATCAAGGCAATCTACTCACCCCTTGGACACACCAGTTCTGTCGGTGATTATTTTCACTTCTTTAACAGTGCCATATCGTGCAAAGAAGCTCCGAATTTCTGTCTCATCCATCTAGAAGTACATTGCAGCATATGAATAAAGGCACAGTGAAAATCATTGCAGTATCATGAATCTAACAAGTATGGCCTCAAAATTGTTTTTAAACTGTTTGCAGCAAAATAATTAACTCTGAGCAGTTTATGATCCCGCAGCAACAATAACTTATTGTTGCTTAACGAAGTGCTAGAAGCTGAATGGAGCCAATGTACCTATTCTATGTGCTAGCAATATGCTGACTGACAGTGTTCGAAACTCCCATTGTTCTAGGTGCATTTTGTGACTGGAAATTTCATTAGCGTGAGCAGTTTATGAGCTCTGGGCACAGTACTGCGCCTAAGATTTCAGATTAAAACTGCAGAGTGGGAGGAAAGGAGGACCTTTTTCTGCCTCCCCACTTCCAGCTACTCTCTGAAGACTGGAGAAGACCTTCTTAAGAATATTAGGGGGTGGGCAGGGGAAGGACTAGACCATGTGAAAAATGAACATAATATTTTAGCTGCAGTTCATTCATTTTCAGCTTTGTATTCTTATTAAAAAAAGCACGCCTAGACATTCCGGTGTTGTGCCCATAACCTAGGTTTAAGTTGCCATTTTGCTTCTAGATTTCATCTCAGTTTCTAACACTGCTGACTGAGGATATCTTAAAACTTAAACAAGACTTAAAATAGCTAGCTTTAGTCAGCAGCATAAGAACAGAAGGTAATTGGGGAAAGGCATATATGAGTGAGAGAACTGGAATTATCCTTAGTATGATTGCTGAGGGAGGCTGAGAAGTACTGAGTCTCAATGTAAGAAGGCAGCACACTGCCTAAAACTTCTCATTGGGTTTCTGAGACTTACTGCATATATTTTCTTCAATGCATCCTGAGCACAAGATATTTCTCCAAGCGAAAATAAGGTTGTAAAAATCATTTCTAAAGGCTGTGCAGTTTTTTGAACTCCAAATTAGAGATATTTTGACTAAAGTAGTAATGCTACTAGCTCTCCAGCTGCATTTGAAGATCTTGTGATTACAATGTGTCAAACATTTGCTCCTACTCTGGACAGCCACTGTTTTTTTTATTGTGGCAAGATGAAAATTCTTAAGCCTGAGTAATGTATTTAAAAGCGGCACTAGTGATAATACCTCCACATAAAGCAACCAAATAAGTAACCTTAAGTAATATCTGGGCTAGAGTAGTTTTTCAGTGCAATGCTAAGCATATCTAATCAGAATTAAGTCCCCTTAAGTTCAAAAAGACTTAAGTTCCCATAAAAGTTTATTGTGCCTTTATTGTGCATATACTCATCTGCCCCAAGTCCTCAAGACAGATCAATGCACCAATTTTAACAAGTCTTAATAAGCTCAAAATAAAAAGAATACATACCCGAATGTCAATTCCACCCACAAAAATGGTATTTGGCATGATTTTCCCTTCAGGCAGAACATAGCCTTGGCTTGTTGCAGGCAACTGAGCATTTTCCTCTCGGGTAATGTTTTGGGAGTCTTGATTTGCAGCAGACTATGAACAAATTTTATATACCATTTTATAAGAATTTTCACACTTGTTTATTAGACATTTTCTGCTTGATGTGGATAAAACTAACATGCAGAACAGAAGACCAAGTGCATTTTTCTAGCTAACATCAGGATTCTTTTTACCTTCCCTTGAAGTTTGTCTGCAACATGACTGCTTTAGAATTGGAATTGGAAAATTTTAAGTACTGTGCCGCAAAGAGAAAAACTTTGGTCCTTTTGTAGATTCATTACAGTCTCAAAGCAACACATGCCTATACAACACATGTATAATAAAAATATAATAATAATATTATTATTAATAATAATTTATACCCCGCCCATCTGGCTGAGTTTCCCCAGCCACTCTGGGCAGCTTCCAATCAAGTGTTAAAAACAATTCAGCATTAAATATTAAAAACTTCCCTAAACAGGGCGGCCTTCAGATGTCTTTTAAAGAGAAGATAGCTGCTTATTTCCTTCACATCTGAAGGGAGGGTGTTCCACAGGGCGGGTGCCACTACCGAGAAGGCCCTCTGTCTGGTTCCCTGTAACCTCACTTCTCGCAATGAGGGAACCACTAAAAGGCTCTCAGCACTGGATCTCAGTGTCCGGGCTGAAATGATGGGGGCGGAGACGCTCCTTCAGGTATACTACAGGACCGAGGCTGGTCAGCACCAACACTTTGAATTGTGCTCGGAAACGTACTGAAACTATTCTATGTGCTAGCAATATTTGAAACTCTTAAAATCTTAAGGCCTCGATTTAAGAATTAAACAGAATATTTGAGCAATTCTGTAGTTCTGTGGGGTCTTTACAAGATCAAAGCTACCTGTCCCTACCTAGTTGCAGAGATGCAGTGTGGGTTGCTGGTGCAAGTGTTGCACCCCCTTGGTGGATTGGGCAGCTGCCCTGCTCCTTCCTCCCCACCTTGCCCCACCCCACCCCGGAGGCCCCTCATGTCCCATGAACGTCGCTGCTGCCTGGACACTGAGAAGCAGCTGGAGCCCCTCCGAGAGAAAGGGGGAACAAGCAGGAGGCATTTTCGTTAGGCAAGAGGTGGCTCGGGCTGCAAAGCAATCGCCAGGATGCTTAGGAGCCTTGCGGGCTGCTTGGGATCCCAAACCCTTGAAATAAAAGTGCATGCTCCCTACACCCTCCCCGCCCCCCATCTCGCAGGGCAGCTTGCACCGAGGCTGCACAGACGGAAGAAGCCCCTTCTCGCAGTTTCCTCCACGCCGCTACCTCCTAGCTGGCAAGAGTTAAGTAACTACTAGACATGTTTCATCCAAGAAAGAAGCGAACCACAGCGAACAGGTGCCCCGCACCCCGATAGTACTGCCAGCCGATGCTCATTATTAGACACTTCCCGTTAGCCGCGAAACCAAATTAAGACCGTTCTTCTTCACTCGCAAAGCGGCAGGGCCTGGCGCGCGTGCGCAGCACGAACGCAGCGGCGGTGCCCGCCATTCCTGCGCGTTTGGAGCCGCTCGCTTCGCGCTCCACACACACAACACGCGTGGCTCAAATTCAGCGTTAGCTGATCCGTTGGAGAGGACTATTCTCTTCCAGTTCCAGACACCCAACAAATGAGGGGGAACCGTTTTGCGGGAGGGACAGCGGCTTCAAATAAAGTTTTGTTTAATAATCGCCGCGCGACAAAATGGTGCCCTTTTCTCCTCACCGCCTTCCCTCCTCGCGCTCTACGGAGGCCTTTCCGACGGCTTTTCAACGAAGCCTTTCGAGGCCCGCTTCTCTTCCCGTCCCCCACGGCAGCCTCGACCCCTCAAATAGGTGCGGAGGAGGCGACGCCGCCTTCGCCCCAAGCCGCTATTTCGAGGCCGAGTCGAGCCGGCCTCTCCTCCCCTCACAAAAAGCGCACCTCGGCGCGCGCGCCGCTAGATTCCGAAAGGGGCAACGAACGGACCCCGTTCCCCCTTCCCTACATGGATGGGGGGGGAAAGGAAGCTCCCCCCCACCTCCATCCCCCCACTTAGCCCTCGCGGTTCTCTGAAAAGCCGTTCTTTTTACCGACGAAGTAAAAAAAACGTGGCTGCCCCTGAAGAAGTTGGAAAACCACCTTTTTTACTTAACTTACCATCTTCTAGGGCAAACCTTTGAACTCGTTGAAATGGAAAACAAAGGCTTTCTCTCCCCCCTTTAAATAATAAATAAATAAAAACACCCCACCACCACAACCAAATCCACAATTTCCCCCTCCTCTCCCTTTAAAACATGTCAGCAGCTGCTCCAGAAAGCGCCCCTAGAGAGAGACCCCGCCCACGGCTCTTCGCCACACCCAAAAGGGGACAAGGCAGGACTTGATCCTAATAATTTGCTCACTCCCCCCCCCCTCAATTTTTAACGCTTATTCGGTTTATTTTTTAACCCGAGAGAGGCTGCCATATAGCGCTGTCACGTAGGAAGACCGTTTCAAAGATATATATATATAACAAAGATATATATATATATAAAGACACGCCACCTCTGTTTTACTTCCTACCTTCCCCCCGCGCTGAGGTAAAACTTTAAAAGGGATGGCTGTTTTTTTTATTCGTTGGGGAGTGGGCGCGTGTCGCCGACCCCCATTTTTCTTCACCGTTCAGGACCGTCCTGAGTAAAAAATAAATAAATTTAAGAGACCTTCAATCGACTTTCACGTCAGCGGCTTAAAAGCGCCATTGTGAAAAGCGCTTTTTTAAACCGACACAGACCCTCGTGAGGTTACAGGAAGGGGGATGGTTGCGCATCTGTTAATCTGGGTCTGAATTAAAAACGTTTTTTCGTGTAAAAAATAATAATGAAATGCTTAGATGACCTACCTTTTCTTATAGATAGCAACTGCCCTTATGCATAGTCACTATGTGGTTTGGTGCTGTCTTTTTTTTTGGCAGTCTTAACACCTAGTGGCCTTAAATTAGGTATGTGGTAGAAGATATGTGGTAGAAGATAATAGCTTTGGGCCTGCAGTCCTCCCGGGTTTAAAAAGTCACATTGAATTCAGTGGGGCCTAATTCTAAGTAGACATGCATAGGATTGTGCTGTTAGTTACTAGCAAAGGGGCCATTGGCTGGACTTGTGGGTTCTGTGAGAAACGTGTGGTGCAATATTGGGGCCTGGGTTTGTTTTGTTCTCCCTTGCCTCAGAATCCACCGGTTGGCCACACTCAAACGTGCGGGGAAAGGCAGGAGGAAGGTGTTCAAAATGGCTGTTGCCTTATTAAAAAAAATAAAAATAGTGTGATCATACAGCAACCATTCATAATGCCTGTTAACTATGTAATTTTGTGCTCCACAACTTTGCACTAGGTTTAGATTGATAAAGGGTTGTTGAGATGCTAAGTGCAAAACAGTGGGATGGAACCGCTCCTCCTTTTTTGAAGTATTTCTTTTTAAATAACACTTTAACTGTGTCCTCAATAAAAATTTGGCTAGAAAAATAACTTATTTTGGTCAGCTGTAGGTTCTCTGCAGGGAAAGGATTTTTGTCATGGGTGCGTGGAGCAGTAGGAGCTGTCTTGGGAGAGTAATATTTTCGCCCCTGAAGAGATTGTATTCATTGCAATAAGTGAAGTTTGCTCTATTTTAAGCATCCCTGAAACAAATTGTGTTGTAGATATGACTTAATAAAAATGTGTATTATAAGAATCATTATTTATTGATCTAAGAGTGGTACACATTGTGTTACAAATGATCAGCTCAGGATTGCAATAGATGAAAGTGGACAGAACAAAAAGATTTCAGGACTGAAAATTAGACATAATGTATATAATATGCCAAAAGAAATTAAGAGAAAATCTCTCAAATTATCTTAATGAATGTGTCCTAGCCAGTATCAAAGAGCTGGCTACCTACCTACATCATGTGAACCCTGCAGCCAACACATGGCTGTACTGATTCCTTTATAAACACTGAATGATATGCTACAGGAGCTCATTTCAATATGCTACCAATTAAGCAAGCTGGATCTCAGAAGTCATGATATGAGACGTAGCACCAATCAATGGCAGCAGCACAGCCTTGTATCCAGTCCTGCACAAGAAAACTGACAAAGTCACAATGCATTCCACCAACTTGGATGACTTTAAAGAGGGTTAGAAACATGCATGGAGAATAATCTTTATCTTTATCAATAGATACTAACTATGATGGCTATGTTCTTCCTCCGCTGTTGGAGGCAGTAAGCCTACGAATATTAGTTGCTGGGAATTGCAAGTTGGGAGAGTGATCTTGCACTCAGATCTTGCTTGCAGGCTTCCTACTGGCATCTGGTTTGCCACTGGTGAGAACATGATGCTGGATTAAATGTGCCTTTGGCCTGAGCTACCAGGGCTGTTCCTATGTTCTTACTAAGCAAATATGATTTTATTTTTGTTTTTTGAAATGGCATTTACACACAGACACATATCTTTGAACATTATTGATTATTCATAGAAAAATACCAGTGAAGCTGTAAAGAAGTGTAGAAACCTTGCCCTGCAGATCAAGCTAAACACAGCAGTCAGCCTAGAGAGATGTATGTTAGATGAAGGAAAGACAGCTGGTAAGTGGTGAACCAAGCTATTCCAACAGGCAAAATTGATTTCTTCTGTGCAAGAGACAACCCCTGGTGCCAGTTCTGGGCAGGGACTGCCAGGCTGGGGTCTGAGTTAAGAATATACAGCACAATCCTATGCATGTTAATTCAGAATAAAGTCCCACTGTGTTCAATGGGGAATAGTTCCCATAAATAGGGACAAAGCATGAAATGGCAACCTTTAAGAATCATACTGCCTTTCAATTTATTTCCAAACACAGTGATCTTTATTTTAATTTGTGGAATTTTGAAAGGACTGTTTCATCTAGAAGTGAAGCAAGTCATATTACAAGTCATATTGCACCTCCAATGATTGTATTGCACAGATAAGAAGTTTCTTGCTCTTCACAGTCAAAAAATAATTTTCTCTATTATTATTTTTAAGAAAGGAATGGCACTGTATGGCCTGTAGAAAAGATTGCTTGCTTTTAGGATAAATGATAATATGGGGATGACTTTTCTGTGATGGTCTTCCTAAATGGAGTTATGAAAATTAAGAAAGTTGTTTCCTAAGTAACTTGGTAGAAAGAACAGCAGGTGCCTCAATGTTCTAAGGAAACATCTGGATTCAAGAGGAACAATTACCATTCTAGGGCTAACATATGTCTGGATTTCCCTAGACATTACTGGGATTTCAAAGGCAGAATTGATGTTGGGAGAATTTCTGAAAGGCGGCACATTATCCTGGATTTTAGGTACAGGTAGTCGAAAAAATGTGGGGTGTTTTTTTGCGTTTTTGTCTTTAAAAATTTCAGCAACTTTTTGGGTGTCCTGGTTTTTACTTTTTGAAATATGGCAACCCTAAGTTAGGCTGTCAAGGAACAGTGACATATCCTTTGTGATATCATTAACATAGTTTAAAAGTCAGCTAGTCAGAGAGGTGTCAAGTGAGAACAGATGGAGATGAAGAGAGTCCGTCTAGGTTTGGCTGCTGCTTTGGGGAGAAGGGGGAGGGCTCTTATGCTTCCATGGACAGCTCACCCTTCTCATCCTCACCCCTTTCTGGAAGAGGTGCTTTGGTTCTTATGGAATTGTTAAAATGACTGTTGATAATAGTATTAATTAATCTCCAAATAAGAAACAGAATATATTTTATATTTAAAAAGCAAGTCATGGTCAAGTGAGAATGGTCCATGATAAATAATTAAGAATCTGAAGAGGTAAATAAGTAAAAGCTATACTTGTATTAAGGAATGAATGGTTTGTTTTCATAAACAGATAAAAAATTGGCTTATAATACTACTGTTTGGGTTTAATGGTTTATCTAAATTTTGAGGAACTATCATTCAAAGTCACAAAAGTGCTTTTAAGTTTTGTTCATCACCTAATGGTTAATAAATTTTGAATTAAGGAATGTGTAAGCACATTTCCTCAGAGAAATTTCCGTCAAGCTCCCTGGATGTTCTGCTTTTATTTACCACTATCCCCCCAACAAAACCTAATTACTTGTGGCTATTAAAAGAAAAACATGAAGTCATTATCCTCACCAGTTTTTTACTAAGAAGAAAACGGGTCCTGCCTTCCATCGTTTTGACCAATGAGAGCAAAGGCACTGGAATAACAGGTAAGCACCAGGCATTTATTTCAAAGCTTTATTAGATACATGTACTTTTATTTTATTAAGATTTAGTACAATTAAATAACTGCAAACAGATTAGGTTATCTAGGGTATCAAAGACTTCTACATTGATTTACCTACCATATGTCCTATGTATCCTTAAGCCTTCTCAACGTAACATTTTTTGCTAAGAAGTGGGATAGATTTTTCCCACTTTGACAATGCATTAGGTCCAGTCGTGGCTGACTCTGGGGCTGCGCACTCATCTCGCTTTACTGGCCGAGGGAGCCGGCGTACAGCTTCCGGGTCATGTGGCCAGCATGACTAAGCCGCTTCTGGCGAACCAGAGCAGCGCACAGAAACACCGTTTACCTTCCTGCCAAAGCAGTACCTATTTATCTACTTGCACTTTGACGTGCTTTTGAACTGCTAGGTTGGCAGGAGCAGGGACCAAGCAATGGGAGCTCACCCCGTCGTGGGGATTTGACAATGCATACTGTTAGGTTAATTGAGAGTCCTAATCCATGACAATGATTGTGAATTTAGAATCAGGGTGATGGTATTGTTATTACAGATTAATAATTATTGTGAAGTGTATGTATGTTGGCTGATTACTGAACAATAACATCGAGGTTACTTTTTTTTTAATTTAACAGGATTTGTATAGTGCTTAATCATCTAAGCTTATTATGATCAGAGGCAGTGTTTGTTTTCAATCCATCATATTTTAATTCTTCCCATGAGTTCAGCAGCATGCATGATGTGACCTCAAGTCAGTAAACTTTATTACTGAGCCAGGATTTGACTATTTTAAGATATAAGGAGGCATAAAGCAAGGAGTCTACTGGCACTGCTGCACTAACACATCATGTTAGTGATGTGTTAAGGGAATATTATTTTTCACCAAGCTGGGGATCCCATCCTGTGTTGAAAATACTCCTTATTGACAACTTGGTGCAATTATTTCAGCCCCAATTAGGTGTGCCTAGTTTTGTATCATACACAATTGTTAAATCCTGAATTTCACTCAAGATGTAATCGACAACCATTTCACGTGGGGGTTCTTTTCCTGCCCCCCATGTGTGTCAGCATAAGCGTAAGCGCTTAAGCGTGCCCCATCCGCCCTGCTAGGAAGGAAATAGAATTACCTTTTCTTTTTAAAAATTAAGCCTGTTTTTTAATTTTCAGTGATTAGGCAATGGTGGGCATTCCATTTCATCCTATGCTTTGCTTCCTTCTTAGCATTTCAAACCCTTCCAAGCAAGAAACAAGAGTTAGCCCAACAAGAAAATGTAAACATTACATAGAAACTATTTGTGATCATTCAGAACAGCAGTAATTAATGATAATGCAATCATTCTGGCATGGGCAAATAAAATAAACATTTGTGTGGCAGAAAATCATTGTCTCTATTTGTACTCAAATGAATACAGCCAAACTTCATTATTAGTTTGGAACTCAACTATTTCCCTTTGAAATTCTTCTGTTGGAAAGACTTCCACTGTTCTATCTTTGGATCAGTATTGTCTATGTTGGCTGCTTCTCTCATGCTGTTCTTTGTTCAACCTACAGCTTTGTAAATGGATTTTAACAAAAATACCATAAACTACAGGGTGCTGTTCTCCAAAGTAAACTGAGTCTGCAAAGGCTGCTTATTATGCCACTACTCTGGGATGTGGAGCAGCACAATAACATTAAATAACTGCTTGTGGAATGTGTAACTTCCAGAGGACTCCTATCAATCTTTTTCTTTTTTTGCACTTTGTGCAACAGGAATGTTCTAATGTCTACTATAGCTACAATCCTATTTAGGCATAATTACTTTAGAGGAAGTCCCATTGAACTCAGCAGATGAGGCTGCATGTCTGGTTGAAAGACAATGACAGAGGGACAAAGAAATGCCTAGGTTCATGGACTTAACACAAATCCAGAAAAATGTCATTGAATATCAGTTCCACATTAAAAACCATTTTTGAAACTCCCATCTAGTTCAAAAGCAGCTTGCCATGCTGCACAAGGTCTGGTGATTTAAAAAAAGCAGGGGAAGTATGAAAGGTACTAAGTCTCATTAAATGAAATTCACAGGTTTTGGAGCCTGGCAATTCTTTGGTATTTCCATAACTCATAAAACAGATGAAAGACCTGCAAGGTGCAAGGAATGACAAAAGAGGACAAAATGAGCAGCAGGTATAAAAATGAGCAGCATAGGAAGTTAATAAGATGTTGAAAAAAGGAAGGAATGTGTAATATCATCATCATCATCATCATCATCATTATTATTATTATTTTAAAAAGGAGGAATTTTAACAGTTGCCATTTCAGTAGATGATTGTTTTGGAATCATAGGCAGAATAATTGTTGCAGTATACATGGCTAAGTAATAATATCATTATTTTGTTGTATATGGTAATATTTTTTCAAATTTTCTGATCCAAATACATGGGTTTACTGTATATTTATGATAACCTTTTAAAACTTTTATCCTTTAAAATCCTATGACAATGAACATACAAACTTTAACAACATTTTAAATATATAAGCTTTTGTCTGTGTTCTTACATTCCAGCCCAATAAAATTCTGCATTCTTAGCTTTCTCTGATGCAGTGTTCTAAGCACACAGATAGACTCTGGAAGCAGCACACTTCCGCCACATGGAGCTGTTATGGGGAGAAACATTCAGTTCCAAGATCTTAGATTTCTGTTGGAGCCACGTGTCCACACCTCTCTAGGCATACCACATGAATTTATTTATTAAGAGTACTTTTAGTCCACCTTTTATCATATGATGCCAGGGTGGGGTACAATATAGTTGAAACAACAAAAATGTTTCTATACAGTTAAAAGACCAGGTAAAAACATAACAAAACTTTAACTCGCATACAATTTTTTTTTTAAAAAAACCCTACTCATGGACTCCTTAATTGCATCAGCATACTGATACTAGTACTGTATCTAACGGTAGCTCAGGCAAGGTAGGCCTCTACTTATTGTCAAAATGATCAGTGCCAGTCACACTTCCAAGCAGAGGCCATCCCATGATTTATTGCATGAAACACTTGTAACATCTGAGAACTGCGGGGGGGGGGCGTCTAAACCTTTGCATCTAAGAACCTTTGCATCTCCATAATTTTCTTCCTCTGTTGACAAGAGTCAAAGGCTGTGAGAGACAGCAGCAGCAGCAGCAGCAGCCCAATGAGGAAAGCAGGTGCTTGGGCCTCCATTTCTTGGTTGGGATTATTTCCCAGGAGCATATTTGAGGATTGGGACAAGTATCTTCTTCTTCTTACTTATTTTAAAAACACCCTTCAGGCCCATGCAGAGATTGACTGAGGCCTGGAGCAGGAGTCTTACTATAATAAAGTTATAAACTCAAACAAAAGAAGACCCAGGGCTCCCCCCCCCCAGGCCTGCCGCCCTTCCCCCAAAGATCCCAGGACGGTTCACAGCTTGACACTTTTGCTTCACTAGCACCTTCTGCATCAGCCACCAAAGCGAGACTCTCTAGTGAGTCATAAGCAGCAGCAAGAGCAGCCCAGTGAAGAAGCCTGAGTTCTGTGAGTTACTAACTTGCCTGCTTCCACAGACCAGGTGATTCAGCTACAGAGTGGCAGTTGGGACATTTAAGGCCTGGGGAGTACTTACATACACCTTTGCCCCTCCGTAGTTAACTATTATGCTATTATGCTACAGTGGTACCTTGGTTCTCAAACTTAATCGGTTCTGGGAGTACATTTGACTGCTGAAACCATTCAAAAACCAAGGTGTGGCTTCCAATTGACTGCAGGAGCTTCCTGCACTCAATCGGAAGCTGTGTTGGATGTTTGGCTTCCGAAAAACATTTGCAAACTGGAACACTCACTTCCGGGTTTGCAGCGTTTGGGAGCTGATTTGTTCAGGAGCCAAGCCGTTGGACTACCAAGGTACCACTGTATTTTATTATATTTTAATTATTTTGTAAGCAGTCTCTGGAAGTTCAGAAAGTAGAAAGGATATAAATATTCCAAAGTAACTGAATAAAAATAATACCTGTGTAATGTTTTCCACATAATGTAGATGCTCATGTGATCAAGTCACATGTTAAATCAATTATTTTGTTTAAACAGTATATCCAGGGGGTTTTCCAGCCGGAGATCACCAGAACTCAGTTCCAGCAACTCTCAGCTGGGCTCCATTGCTATTATAAGAAAACAAGGAAGGCGTTCATGGTGAGTTCCAGCATCTCTTTTTCTAGAAAAATCGCACTGAATATATCACAATTTTTGAAATGCTTATTGCAGCAAGAGTCTAATTTAAAAAAACAATCTGATTTAAACAGAGGAAGCTGCTTGGTACCATATACCACACTATTGGTCCTTCTAACTCACTGTCTAGCCTCATTGGGGGCAGCTCTCCAGGTTTTAGGCAGATATTTCCCAGCCTAATGTAGAGATCCCAGGAATGGAACTGAGGACTTTCTTCTGCATGTAGTCTACTGCTGGATTCTCCCAAAGAAAGGAAGACCCACACCCTGAACATATTAAATTTGAATTTAATGTTTAAACATATTTTTGGTAAAATATTTTGTCATTTCCAAATAATGGCACACAACATAATTCACAATAATATCACAAACATAGTTAAATGCTCTTTTAAAAGAAAAAGAAAAAAAGAGGAGGGTGGAATACCTGACCTAAGTTTAAGCATTATAAACAACAGAATAAGTCATACCCTGTGTTTAACATTGGTTCCAGAGACTAGCACTTCAGTACAGGTACTAGGATCTAGGACAGAGATGAGGAACCTGTAACCCTACAGATGTTGCTGTACTACAACTCTCATCATTGCTGGTGAGAGTTATAAGGTCACAGATTCCCCATCCCTGATAGGAGCTATTATTCCGTATTTCTCAAATATTATTCTTTTAGCCTCTGTGAGTGGTCTTCAACTTTTGTGTTCTCTCAGTTATTAATACAGTGATACCTCAGGTTACATACGCTTCAGGTTGCAGACTCTGCTAACCCAGCAATATTACCTCGGGTTAAGAACTTTGCTTCGGGATGAGAACAGAAATCGTGCTTCGGCAGCACGGCAGCAGCAGGAGGCCCCATTAGCTAAAGTGGTGCTTCAGGTTAAGAACAGTTTCAAGTTAAGTACGGACCTCCGGAACGAATTAAGTACTTAACCTGAGGTACCACTGTATTTTAAACAATATGGATGCTTATTTTCCATCTGATAGGGAAACACTATTTTCCTTATTAACTACTAGCCCATGCTTCTGGGAAGTTTTGTACAGCCAGCCCTGTGCATGTTTAGCAGTAAATCCCATTTGATGTAATAGAAGTTCCTTTCAAATATGGGTATGTGAGATTGATGGTTAATTAGTGGTTAATGATGACCAAAAGTTTTCAGTTATGCTCCTAGATTTTAAAAAGGCTCTTTTTCATTTAAAAATAGTATGTTTTGGTTGGTATTACAACAGGTTAGTTGCTCAAGAGACAGATAAATTTTACCTGCTGCTTATATTTTGATACATTTTATTTCAATTTGTTTTTAACATTCTACATATGAATTGGGTATAAACCAATTTAAGCTCAAATGTCCCTCAGGGCATTTTGTGTCTTCAACTCCTGTTCAGCTTTCTAAAATACGTGAATCTCTGCCAATTTGTAGGGCTTCTTTTTATATTATACTCATTTTGTATCTTACTAGAATTTTTGTGTGAAAATCAATATCCTGAGAATATAATTGGTGTTTTTGGATATTTAATTCAAATATGAGAAAACAGACACCCGAAGAATTACATTTGCTTCGTTAGTAAGTTTATAACCTCAATGGAGGAGACTATGAGGATTGGTTTTGGCAAATATGTTGGATTGCATTGTTATACATGGAATATGCTCTTCACAACTTATTTATATGGAAAATAGCTACAGCATGGGGTTTTTTGGGAGGGGGCAGAATCAAGTTGTATTGAATTACATGTTGACCAATTAACTGTTTTTATGAAAAACTAAGGTATATCTCATTTCACCACAAGATGGTGTGTGATATCAGCATTGCTAGGATATGGATAAAAATATGTTGCTTATCCAGCTGGTCTATGAAAGCTTGTGTACTAAAAACCAATATATTAACTTTTCTATAATGTTCTCTCTCTCATTGGCCTGCCTAAGTGAAGAGTCAAATCTCAGTTTCCCTATCATGTCAAAAGGCTGCAATCTACATTTGAAAAGGACCAGTTTTCTCTTGATAGCATTCTCCTCTTCTCTTTACACTGTGCATGTAACTTCTTATTTGTGAATTTGTCTCTAACTGAGACAAGAATCAGTTTGGATAATAAACAATAGACGACAAGCTGTGTGCAAACATCAAGAGTGCAAACAAACAACCTTCCAGACCTAGAATAACTGATAAGATTGTGACTAGTGTTGATCTTAATCCTCTGTGATCTTTTAGCCCCAACAGCTGATGTGCCTGAGAATTAAAATGCATTACCTTGTTCATTACAAAAGGATAGTTAGTTGAATTGGCTTCTTACAACCACCTGTAATGCCCTGTACTTCTTTTATGTAGTTTTGAAATGCAAAACCTACCCAAAGGAACTACTTTTTCAAACCAGATTTTATTTGTATGTGACTGACAATAAATTTGCAATCGCAGTATGATGAAGAGTGCCATAGCAAAGTTTATGCAAAAATAGTACTTAGTAAATATATAGTGTTATCCATTAGTGCTCAAAGCCTTTCATTTTAAAAAAGATTATAATGCAAATCCATCCAGTTTTGGATATGTCATTGTTAGTGTCCTAATTCTATTATGTAAAAAGTGAATTTTGGGTGTTACAAGGAGGAGTACTAAAGGCTTACCACAAGCCAGGAGGAAGCCAAGCTGAAGTCAGGCAGTATTCTGTATGTGTCTAAATTACATAAATTAATACAGATTTATTTGTTTAATTGTGAAATAATTTTTACTAGTTTTTTAAATGTACATCTATCTGTCCATCTCCTTGCCAGATGAATTCTGTACATCCTGCAGGTGTGAGCTTTGAGAATTGGGCAATGTATACTTTTACTGTAACTTTGAATCAAATTAGACCTTTGGCTATTTTTGTTGCTAAAAACAAAACAAAAATAAAATGCTTCTTTTAGTCTTCCTTTAAAGCTTAATAACAGACTTCCATTATGTAAATTCTCATAATGTGAATTCTAATCTCCTACTTACATTGATGAAAAATGATGCAATTAGGACTTAATTAAGAACTTGTGCTTATTTTTTATATTGTTTTTAATAGTGTGTTAGAGTGTTTTTTTAAAGAGCAAAAACAATTAACAACAGCTTAAGAAAACCAACCTTAAGGGAGAAAAGACATCTATAATTGATTTAAGCAAAGTCAATAAGCTAAACCTCAAGCCAAAGACAGGTAAAATAATTCACTGCAAAGTGTTAAGTACAACAAAGAATCTGGTGGCACCTTAAACAATAACAAAAGTTTTATGGCATAAGCTTTTCTTGACCATACTGCAGTTTATCTAATTCATGGTTATCTTGGGTTGTAGGTGTAAGCCACCTTTCATTGTACAGTAAATGAGAGTACATTGAGTGAAAGAATGACATTATCCTTAATGCGATGAGAGAAATGAATAGCTGCCATATAATATAGTTCTGCTGCGGTGAGGCTAGAGGGCCTGCGCCCTTTGCAAGGCCTTAACCATCTGTCCTAGGGGGCAGGGCCTGGACTCACTGGAACAAACCTTGGGGCATTGCTGGGGGGTGTGTGGTTCTGCTATTGTTTCCCTTCTCCAACTGTCTAATATATTTTAAAAGGTGGTCAAGTAGCTTTTAATATATGGGGTTTAAAATTTGGGTTGTTTTGTTGGTTTTGGGGTGGTTTTAAAGTTTAAATGGGGTTGTGTGTTAGTTTAATTTGTGTGCCATTGTAAATTATGCTTCTTTTATTATTTTCTAGTAGGTTTATGGGTTTGTTTTGTTGTTTTTATAAGAAAACTTGTTTTTAAGGGGATAGGTTTTGGGCTGCCCCCAGAGTGGGCCCTAACCAATAGGATGGCTGGGGCAGGTTCTACAGAGGGTGGGATATATTGGAACACCCAATCTCAGTTATCATGGTCAGGAGGAGGAGTTACGCTACAATCAGACCACGTCATTACCAAGGAGACAGGTTTAGTTGTTGTTTGAAGACTATCCCTTCCTCCGGGTCTGGTCCTTACCGGAAGGATACTGGAATCAAAAAGGGTGACCCACATGATCTTAAGGTGCTGCTGCGCAATGCCAGGTCAATGATCCACAAGACCACTGCCATCCATGACTTGATCGTGGATGGAGGAATTGACCTGGCATGTGTAACAGAAACTTGGTTGGACGTGGCAGATGGGCTTGTTCTTGACACTGCTTGTCCACCAGATTTCTCTTACACACAGCAACCCAGGTCATGTGGGCGGAGGGGGTTGTTGCAGTGAATTTAGAAAGTCATTAGCTTGCACCAGGTGTCCTATTGGGAAGACCCAGTTTTCTGAGTGCATGTTCTGGAAGTTGGGCAATAGGGGCAGTACAGGATTCCTAAAGGAGTACCAACATCCCCACTCCACCAAGAATTCCTTGTCTGAGCTGCTTCAGGTTGTGGCGGATGTTCTCCTGGAGACACCTAGTTTGGTTGTCCTAGGGATTTTAACATCCACGCCAACACAACCTTACAAGAGGCTGCTCGGGACTTTGTGGAAAGACCTCCATGGGGCTGTCCCTGAATCAGTTTGGCCCATAGCCGGGGACATGCCTTAGACCTGGTGTTCACCTCTGTGGACGTGGGTGATCTGACACTAATTAAATATGAAACAAAAGAAGTGCCGTGGTCCGATCACTTCCTGGTGCAACTAGACTTCTCCATGACCATTCCCCTCTGCAGGGAGGTGGGACTGATTAATTGTTATTTAGTCGTGTCCGACTCTTTGTGACCCCATGGACCAGAGCATGTCAGGCACTCCTGTCTTCCACTGCAGCCTGCAGTTTGGGGATAGGGACTGATTAATAGACTGTCACAAAGTTTCTGTGTTGCTGTTGTTGACTTCTCTTTTCTCCAAGCAGCCTCTAATATTTTGTTTCTTTTATGGACAGGGCTCTTCCTTTGGCATTTGAACTGAAAATTGTTGTCCTTTTAACTGCATAAATGGCAGTCTTGGATCCTCCTTTTCTCCTATGCCCTGCTAAGTTTCCAATAGTAATTTGTACAGCAGATGGCAGTAATTCTTTTCTGTCTCTCTCCAATGTAAAATGTTTAAGGGCAAAAGATGAATAAACAATAAACTGCATGCCAAACCTTTGTGAAAAAATGAGAGTGAAAAAAGGGAATTCATTGTTGCTGACGAACACATTGAAGTCCACACTCATATAATTGGCTATGTGATTCAGGGATTGCCAACAAATCTTTTATAATCTTTAAACTATGTATTATCAATACATGCATGATTTGATCTCTGCCCAAATTAATAGCGTGTTCAAGAACTTTTGTTTTCAGTGACCTGGTTGATCTTGAAGCTAGAACTCCACCATTAATAATAATAAAAACTGTCTCTCTTGTAGAGTAATTAAAGGCAGATGCATTTAATTATAGTGGATGGTGCAATAATGAATACAGAATACTTATTTCCTAGTCAACTTGAATTTAAATATACGTCATTTATTTGGCATCCCCTACAATTCACAAGGCCAAGCGATTGTTGAACGCGCCAATCGCACCTTGAAAACTGCTTTACTTAGACAGGAAAAAAAGGTCGGAGTCCCAGCCTCGCTCTCTGAAAAGGAAGGCTGGTTGGCCAGTGTTCTTTTTACTCTCAACCATTTGAATCTTTCCATACAGGATCATCAATCTTATACTCGCCTGCAAAAGCATTTTCAACAAACAGAGATACTCCCAGCCCCACTGGTCCGCTATAAGATATTGCCCTCCAACGAATGGAGTGAACCTGTAAAACTGATCACTTGGGGAAAGGGTTACGCTGCAGTTTCTACTCCACAGGGTGCTCGCTGGATTCCTGCACGCTGCATCCGCCTGCACCATGGCGTGGCGACAGACCCTTCCGGATCCGATACCGCAGTTCAACCGCAAACTACAGATCGCCCAGGATGCGATGTCCAGCCCCCCCAGGATTCGCAAGCGGGGACATCGTAATGGACCTGTGACATGGGGTCAAATAAAATCACTTTCCTTTCAGGCCGAACAGCTTAGGCAGGAAAGGCAGCTTGAAGCAACTCCTGAGAATTTGCTTTTGTGCGTTATTTCTTGTCTTAACATTAATTCAATGGTAGTAATCATTCTCAGTGTTTTGTTTCTGCCTCTCTCGGCCTCCACTCCTATTAGCAATACCCACACTTCAATGAATGTGTGGGAATCATTTGCAAAAACACTCAATGTCTCTTCCTTTTGTCTAACCCAACAGGTATCAATTGGTGAAATCCTTGGCTCCTGCCTTATCCCTGTTTGCCATGACCCTTTAGATATGCAAAATGATACCTGGTTTTATTCATCCCTACCCCAAAATGATTCTCTCCGCACCCTTGGTTATTATGGTTACCATAACTGGGGTAACCAAGTGCGCTGACGCCCACCTCTGGCCATTGACTTATCAACCCCATACGTGGCTTCATTTAATGTCACTTGTGCCCGTATGGTGAATTGCACAAAACCCAACTGTGTGCAAATGGGCAAGGATAATTTTAATTGCTCCGATTATGTAAATATTTCCTATGTATACAAATACACTGAGCTGCCTGCAGGCTGGTTCTGGTCGTGTCCCGGCTATACATTTAATTACATTCCAGCAAACATCAGCCATGGCACACCTTGCTGTTTAAGCCGTTTGTCCATCGTGTTACCTAAAAAGCATCATTTGACCCGCTCTCGAAATCGCCGCTCTGTTGAATTGACTAACGATTGTGATGATTCAATTTCTCTTCCCAGTAGGTCTGAATATATCTCTTTAGCTGTTTCCCTCCTAGGAGTCCCTGGCTTGGCTGTACGCAACAGTAGAAACATTAATTCTTTAGCTTGTTCTGCAGCAAAAGCACTGAATTACACTTCTCAAGCCCTTCACCTTCTGAATAAAGAGCAAAGTGAACTCCAACATGGTTTTCTGCAGAACCGCGCTGCTATCGATTATCTATTGATGCTTCATCATTATGGCTGTGAACAAGTGGCCGACATGTGTTGTTTTAATATCACAGATAATTCTAAAGCCATTCAAAGCCAAATCTCTCATTTACAAAATCTCACACACCACATTAAACAAGACGTTGGATTTTCTGGCCTCTGGGGTTCTTTTACCCAGTGGCTTACTGCTTGGCTACCTAATCTTACTTGGCTTCGTAATCTCTTTCAATATGCCCTTGTCATTATATGCATCTTAATTTTGTTATGTTGCTTCCTCCAATGCGTTCCTGGCCTCATAAGTCTTTTCTCTCGGCTTCTCTCTCCCCCTCAACCACCTAATAAACTCCTTGCTGCCTACTTTGCGAAATGGCAACACCAACAGTAAACCTAAGGTGAGATGTGGACGGACTTATTTTGGGCATGCGCTGGCAAACCACGTATCCCGAAATATTTCTGTCCTATCGACCCTGGCGAACTTATTTTGGGCATTTGCTGGCACACCACTAATCCTGAAATATTTTTGCCTTATTTACCCAGAACGCCTCGCAAACAAGAAAAGAAAGGGGGAGATAAAGGGAAGTCCTCTTTCTGCATATAACTGCTAGTTCTCCTTCTGCACAAAACTGCTGCATTTTGGGAAGCCTTGCACCTTTTCTCTTGCATTCTGGGAAGTCTTGCTTATAATCTTTTCCCTGCTTTTGCACATACTGTACAGATCTGTTCTAAACACCAGGACATTCTTTTCCTTGTTCAGTCATCCTAAGCTCATGGAAAACAACATGACCCGCTCTTCATGCCTAGCTGACCACATCTACAGAACTTGATTGTTATATTGTTTCATGCCATGATCCATCATTACAATTTAATTAGGAGGCTTCATGCCTGTCTAGTTCTAGCTTCGATTCCCAGCCTTTAATCCACCGATAATAAATGATCATACGTAACCCCCATTTCTCACATGTAATTCCCGCCTTATGCTTATGTTAACCAATCAACAACAAGTTTCTTTGTGTATGTATGTATCAACCAATCAGCGACAAGCACACCTGTGGCAATGTTTGTAATATTCAATAAAAGGGGCTCCCAGGGTCCGCCCTGGCCAGACGCCTCACGTTACACCTGCCTCTCTCGTCTCCTGTGATTTTTCATTCCTACACGTGGTTTTACTCAAAGAATGGTTATAAGGCACTGATGTATGTGTGGGGAGTTCCCAGTTGCCTTTTTCTTGAAACATATGAGAAGTTATTCATTCTTCTTGCATTATTATTCTAGCATGGCAATGGTGCCCCATCTTTCCATTGGAAGATAATTTTTCAATTTCATTTTAAACTAAATGAAATTTAGTTTAGTTGTCCTCTTTTTGTCTGGATGGATTTTTTTTGCCACCAAACATAACTGCTTAAAATTTACTAAGTGCCTTGTTTCCATTGTGACTCGTTTATTTCCACTTAATTTCAGCAGCAGTGAAACAGATGTAGCAACAGATCTTCAAAGCGTTCTATAACACCTGGTGGCCCAGAATGCATTTCTGGAGCAATGCAAGGAGGACACCCATATACTGTCATTCCTCCTACACTGCTAAACCTCAGAAGGGGCCTTGACTTTCATTGGAAGAGCAGGGGTGCTTCCAGATTACCTTTTGGAACATTCCATTCTGATTTGTTGTAGTAGATCAGACAACATTGGCTGTTTACTGAGCGTTAATATTGATTCACTTGCTGTGAAGGTAGGCTATGTTGCATAACTGCAAGTATTAACCTAAAATTTCCAGTGTATTTTCTTCTCACTTGCCTTACTGCAAAAAGTCTGATCTTTTGGGAAAGCAGGTTTGTTGCACAAGATCTCCCAGTAAGCTTTAATTACACAACCTGAACTTGCTGGTGTGTGCCCTGGTTGAAGCCTCCAGAGGGGTGCCATTGAGGTTCCCAGCCTCTGTGTGTGAAGGGTATGTGTGCCAAACTGGCTCTTTGACCCAGGTGAAACAAAGCCTGGTTTTTCCCCTGTAGCCTGGAAGCCCTCTAAGCTTTTATCTTGGCAGGGGAAACTTCCAAAATAATAAAAAAAATTCCTTCCAGTAGCACCTTAAAGACCAACTAAGTTAGTTCTTGGTATGAGCTTTCGTGTGCATGCACACTTCTTCAGATACACTGAAACAGAAGTTGCCAGATCCTTCTATATAGTGAGAAGGTGGGGAGGGGTATTACTCAGAAGGGTGGTGGGAATGGGTGATAGTGTTGCATAGTTTTCTTGCATATTCAGTGGGATACGTGGATTGTAGAGGGTTCTTAATTCTAAGACCCTTGGGTATAATGTCCAGGTTCTTGCATTTAGTAAGAAAGAAGATATCAGTCTGTACCTGTGCAAGTTTCTTGGTGAGGTTGATGGACTTCCATTTCATTTCCAAAATAATAGTTTTCATCAGCAGGCTTCACCCCTATCCATATCACTCTTCACTGGATAACAGGCTGCAATCCTGGGCACACTTAGCTTGAAGGAAGCTCCATCAAAACATAGTGCAGGTTACTTCTGAATTAACATGCCTGGGCTTTGGACATACCTGGAAGTGCCACAAACATTCTCTTTCTATGCATCCTCTTTCCATGCTTATGAGTAATGTACGGAGTACTGCTTTTATATCTGAGAGATGTCCAAACTCTACTACATCTAACTCATGCATGTCCCACAGAAGAGATGTGAAAGTCGCTGTTCCCGATGTTGGGAAAGGACATGGTTCCCATGCAAAATGTTTCCAGGTTTCCAGGGCATGGGAAAGACTCCTGCTTGAAACTCTGGGAATGTCACTGCTAGTCAGTATCAACAATTCTGAGCTAGATGGTTCAACGATCTGACTTGGTTTAAGGCAGCTTCCTATGTTACTATGTTTCTTGTAAGTGTTAAAAGAGGCGGCACTTGTAGATGACCAATTAATCCACCTGGATTACTCAGTAGAACCTACCCCACTTAGTCTGATAGCTGACCTTTTTGTGTAATCTTTGAATTAAGGCATTTGTCAGGAGACAAGCAAAATAATACCATCCAGTAATGTACATCTCTCTCTCTCTCTCTCTCTCTCTCTCTCTCTCTCTCTCTCTTCACTTTCTCTCTCTCTCTCCTCTGGATTAACTATAAGTGTCTGCCTTAACGTGAAATATTAAATAGAGCATTCAGTAGTCTGTGCCTTGTAACCATCTAGGAAACATTTCTTTATTTAATTCATAGAGTCATGATATATATTACAGTAAACTGATGCAGCAGTGTTCAGCGGGGGGGGGGGGGGAAGAAAACGATTTCTATGTTGTTTTTCAAAATATGCCATGTATGTTAAATACTGACATCTCCAAGAAAAATACTTCAAAACACACTTTCAATAATTCCTTGAGGTTTAATAATCATTTGATTTTGAAGTGTAGCTATGTATCAGCATTAACAATAAACATACACTTGTGCTCTTTTAGATCAAAGAGAGCTTGTAAGACATGAGAATTGGAGGCAGTTGCTGTCATCCTAACTTCAGGTATGTGTATGCTCACTTTTAAGTTAGAAGTTGTTAGAAGACAGTAGAAGCACAGCAAAATGTACACACAAGTCCTGTATCTGAACCAAGACCCAGACATAACCAGTTTCTCAAGAAGATAGTATTCTAACTTTAGAAAGAATTGGTAGGATCCTAGACTGTGTTGTTGGCATCTGTCTTGGGAGGTAATAGATTGCATCTCTGGGGGTGAAGTGAAATCAATGGAGAATCACAACGCCTGCTGTGGCTGCAGAGACCAGTAACTCATAACTTCTGCCTCCAGCATTGTTTTTGCTGCATTACTAGCAACGAACTGACCTCTCCAGGGCACAAGCCTTGGTAGTGTGTGTGGAGCTTCTGGGCTGCCCAAACACCAAGATCCCCCTCTCAGCCTCATTGATGTCCAAATGAAAACAGAGCAATACATTTGGCACCAGCTTGGGTGCAGGAGTTGCTGGAAGGAGGTATACAAGATGCCCTCCAAACACGTTAGGGGCTCTGTTCCAGATTTGTTTAGGGTTTACTCCTTAGCCTTTTCTTCACCTTTGGGTTTACTTCTTGTATATGAGTACAGCTGTAAGGCAGCTGAAGTTTAGGATCAGAGTTTTCCTTCTTCTAAATAGGCTACCTTGATGAGACCCACCTGTCCCTCATTTCCCTCTGCAGCATATGCGGCAACCACAGGGATGGATTTTGGCTTCTGCTAACTGCTTTCTTGACTATTGGACTAACCTATTGGTCTCATCTGCTCAATCTGCTGGAGCCTGTCTTAGCATGCAGAGGAAGTCCATAGCTCACCAAGGGCTTGAGACCCATTGGCTACCCTCACCTGGTTTAACTGGCCAGTCAAAGCCATTTCCTGGAGTGTGGCAACTGTCACGTGCTGACAGCTTCTAGGAACCACAGTCATAGCTGAGTGCAGAGTAGGGACCAAAAGTGGACGAACTACCCCAGAAGAAGCACGATGTGTTCCCCACCAGATGTGTGACCCACCAGAGATACTACCTCTCCCCAACACCCATACACCCTAGATCAGGCATTGGCAAACTTGGCTCTCCAGATGTTTTGGGACACAACTCCCATCATCCCTGACCACTGGTCCTGTTAGCTAGGGATGACGGGAGTTGTAGCCCCAAAACATCTGGAGGGCTGAGTTTTCCTATGCCCGCCTTAGATTATATACACTTAATTCTATACTGTGTGATACAGGAGTAACTTTGATACTATAATGTTCAAATTTCTGGGAACAGAGTATGCCCAGTTTTTAGTACTATTTTTTGAATAATTCAAACATACACTAATAAACAACTTAAATTTTTCATAGTGCATTTATGAGCTCATACTTGCATTGTCAGCTTGAAAAAATGCCTTTTATATTTTAACCCACACACATTATTTTACAGGGTTGTAAAATAGCGTGTGTGGGCTAAAATATAAAAGGCATTTTTTATATAAAAGATGCAACCCTATGCCAATTCATTATATGAAACACATGTCCTTTCCATGTGGGCTGCTTGTTCTGTGTCTTCTTATAGCATTAAACTGATGGTATGTTCAGAAGGCAACCAAACTGTTAGAATTGTTGGGAGCGTTTGTATTTCCTAGTGCACGTATACAACCTTGACAACTATTGGTGTACACAGGAAAGATGTAATTTGGCATGGTTGACAGATGTATTGTTTGATATCCATTACCAAACTGTATGTAAAGTGCTCAGTAATTAAGACCTTTATCTCTGTCACTGAAAACTGAGTAGAAATATTTATTGTCATTACTTTTTAAGAGCAGCTTTACATAAACAACGACCACTGCTTAAAATACAGGAGGTCCTCAGGATCATTCCACTAGCTAGGATGAATGTGGCTTATAACAGTGCATTGGGCATCCTAAAATGCAGTTTTGACAGAGAACTTGCAGCCAGGTAGCAGGCATCTTCCCATGACTAGCAGAAATAGCTATAGTAGGCTAATGCACTTAATTTGCCTGATTTACACAGGTTACGGAATCCAGCTTTTTGTGATGCAGAATTTAGATTACCTTCATTCAGTATGTGTGTATGTGCACAAGTATCCAGATTTTACAA